CTAATGCCGTATTCTTCTTCTAAAGCTTAATTTCTTGAACAAAATTCTACAATAGGGAAATTTGCTGCCAAAGACCTCTCCCAAGGTGCTAAGAAGCAGTGATGTCAGTGTAAATACTAAAAGTGCACTTGATTCAAGCCATAGCCTTTTCAATTCTTTCCAATAAATCTGAAAATTTGACTGTGGATGGCAGAAGATGAACTGATGCCTTTGAGCTGTGGTGTTAAAAAAGAATATAGAATATCTTGTGAACTACCAAAAGAACAAACCTATGTCACAGAGAAATTACAGCCAGGATGCTCTTTGGAGGCAAGGATAATATGTGAAACTTTATCTCACATAATTTGAGTATGTCATTAGTATGGGACAGTCCTTGTAAAAATCATGTAGTGAGTGTGGCAACAGCTTTGGTTTTATCAGAGATAGTGAGGATGGCTTAAAATAAGATAGAGTTCAGATCTGTTGTTCCTAGGGTCACTATGAGTTGAAATTGACTCAATGGCACCTAACAACAACACAGCTGGGGAAGGTGGTGGAGAGTCATGGAAAGAGAGGAAGACCCTCAACAAGCTGACTGTAACAACTGACACAGAGACTGTAACAATGAGCTCAAGCATGTGACACATCATGAATATGTTCCAAGATAGGACTAGGCCAGATCCGTTGTTCATAGGGCCACTGGAAGTCAAACCAGGCTCGATGACACATAATAATAACTTTCCTGAAGGAGCTGCTAGACGCCTGTCCAAGCACATAGTTAAGTTATTCATAATGTAATCCTCATAGTGTAGTCCCCACCCATGTAAAAATATCTTGTAAATTTTCAAGTGCATATCCTACTTAATAAAGGAAACCAAAACAAAAAAGTTGTAATACACTGAAAGAAATCTCAGCTTTATTCTAAGGAATGAATATTTTTGTCATTAAAACAAAATACCAGAGATGTTCTCAGTCCTAATGAGGTCAGTCATTTCCTGTTTGGAGAGTCAAATATATTAAGCCAAGTCATCTTTAATAAAGCTTATGCAAAATTGCAAGGGAAAAAAACAGAATCCTAAGAAAGGAATAAAACATAACAATATTCAACAAAGTAAAAAGACATGAACCAAATAAGTTTATTTTTTAAAGTAGTACTAGAACTTTGCAACATACTTGGCAGATATTTAGAAAACTATTCCAAACAAAATAATATGTATTCTATCTTACTATTGCTGTATTATTACTCTCAAAAATGTTTTGCAAAGTCACATAACATAGTCAAAGGAACTTAATAACATCAATAGTGATATCTAATGACTCTTCACATGCTTATATGTCATTTTTAGAATTCATTTATGAGTTACCTGGTCATAGCTTTGTTTATATTCCTGCTAGAACATTTGCCATTTTTTAAAATAAGTTTTTAAAAAAATTAGATTGATAGAAAAGCTGTCATTTTACTGGCATTAATGTGGCTTCAACATTAATTCTTCTTGTAAAATAATTGTGATGCCAAGTAGATTTTATTTTGTTATGGAGTCAAAAATACCAATCCTTTCTTTATGATATCTTACATTTTGTGTCAGGTTTAGAATAGTTTTGTACATGCTAAATAATCTTTTAAAATGATTAATTTTTTCTTGTTGTACTTTTTATAAGCTTATCTTTGACTCATCCAGAATTTATTTTATATATAATTTACTTACTTACTAGAGAGCCAGCTTTATCTCCAAAAAATAATTATGTGGTTGTCTAATATAGTATGTCAAATAGGATAACTGACTTATTTGTTATACTACCTTTGTCATATATTTGATTCCTTTATGTCTTTCTATTCTCTAATCTCTCTCTGATTAAATCTTTGCCTGCACCAGCATTTATTTGGAGTACTGTGGCTTTATATTTAAACATCTGATAAAGTTCATTAAGTTCTTCTAATTAAATATTTCCTTGGTTTATATATATATACACACACACATATATAATTTATTTCTTTTTCTCTGAAAGTATTTGAATAACCTAAGAAATAACACTCTAATCTCATATCATACATTTTAAAGCACTTTCACATGCCTTTATCTTAGTCAGAACCAATTCACAGCTACCCTCCGATGAGTTTCTAGAGGCTGTAAATTACACAGGAGGAAACTGTCCATCTTTCTTCCACAGAGCAGATGGTGGATCCAAACTTTTTGCCTCTGGGTTAGCAGCACAACTCTTTACCACTAGAACAGCCTTATCTCACACTGTTCTTGTTGTTAGAAGTCGTTAAGTGCACTATGACTAATAAATACCCTATGCACAATAGCTCTGAACCCTGCTCTCTCCTGAGCCAATCTCACTATCTCTGACAACCCCCCATACAAATTAATGGATCATTTTTTAAATCAATAAGTAAAGGCTATGTGGTTAAGAAAAATGTCAAACCGCAATCAATCAGAAAGAATTAGAACCAGAATCAAACAATGATTTCCTGGCTCCAAGTCCATGATTATAGTTGATCACTTTGTCACACAGAAAAAAAGGCACGATACTTAATGAGCCACATAAATCTATGTAGACATGAGTCTTAGTCGTATAATCTTCTATTCTATTGAGGACTTCAGTTCTTTTCTCTGGTCTTCTGTATTATTCATCAGCAAAATCAAATCATCTTACTAGATACATTTTACAATACAAGCTAACTCAAAATGTTTATAACCTTGTAATTATCACATGGGATGTCCATGGCACCCATTTATCTCATGTTCTGACTTTCCCACTGTGGCCACTCCTTCATCGTGCTCTTTATATGCCCATTCTTCTAAGCCTAGCCATTAAAGGTTGAAATTCTAGCCATTAAAGGTTGAAATTCTGCATAACTTTGGCCTACACCCTCCTTTCTTCTCACACTAGAGTCTCTCTAAAATTATCTCATCCACACTCATTACTTGAACAACCACACATCACCAATGACTCACCAAAGACTCTTCTATCCGTTAAACCTGTTCATCTACTGCCAACTTGATGTGCCAGCCTGGCTGTTTAAAAGGCATTTTAAATACATTCACTTACTCATTGCTGCAAGGTTGGAGCCAACTGATGGCTGACCCTCTAGCAAATTTTCAGAGGCTGTAAATCACATGGAGGGAGATTGTCCATCTTTTTCCTTCAGAGCAGCTGGTGGATTCAAACTGCCTGTCATTAGAGTGGCAGCACAACTCCCTGCCCACTAAGCCACCTGGACTCCATATAAATTATGTCCTAAAATTAAATTAATGATCTCTCTCATAATGCTAGCTTTCTTCAAGTAACACTTAACTCCATTAATGACATCTTTTATGTCAGCTATTCAAATTAGAATCCTGGAATTCATCCTTGATACATTGTTTCCAACTATTTCAAATATCTAATAAAGGTCCAAGACATGTAAACTTTATTCTCCATATTTCTCTCAAATCCATTTATTTCACTATACTTCAACAAACGCACCCAAGCAATCACTTCTACTTGAAATACTAAAAATAACATCACAATCTTTTCATTTGCAATCTTTTTCCTTATTCTTAAATAGCAAGAAATCCTTTTCAAATTGCTAAAAATACTTCAGCAGTTTTCTATTCTTTGTCATTAAGCCTATGTTTTTCATACGCTAAGCCCTGCATGATCTAGCCTTTCCTATTACCCTGCCCTTCTTGATCTCCATGTGATGGTTTCTCTGGCCTTCTTTCATTCATTCAACATGCTCTTCAGGGCTTTCTTTGTGCTAGTCCCTCTATCCATAAGATTCTTTCCTTCTTTTATATTAACTAACCTTAATTTTTAAAGATCACAACTCAATAAACATTCCATATAAAAAGCTCTTAGGACCTCATTGATGGAGTCAAATCTCTCTGTAATTTTTACATTGATAGCAGCTATAATTTTACTTACATGTGAGTGATTATTGTCTCTACTGCTTAGATGTAAACTTCTTGATGAATGACAGGGACTAAGTGTTCTTTGCCAGAATGGGTGTGCCACACATAAAAAAACCTCAAAAGCTGCTGAATTAGTGAATGAAAGAAGACAGCCATTTAGAAACAATGACGATGTCTGTCTGAAAACACATGTATTCTAACTATGAGTATATTCTAATTGACTAGGATTTTGGAAAGAAAATGAGACATACATCAGAATTCATACCAGTGACTTATTGAACTATTACAACTTCCTGTTAGTGACAGAAGTAAAAGTGCATGAAGTGTCTGCCTAAAGCATACGGTAGGGAAATTATCTCCAAAACAGAATTCTTCATTCCAGGAAGGACAAACAATTTAATGGAAGGAGGGAAGAAAATGTTTAACTGTCACTCTATAGAGAAAAAGAAAAGTTACAAGGAAAGGGAAGAGAAGGGAAAGGAAAGAAAAAGGAAGGACGTTCTCTTTATTGCTATTGTTGTTAAGTACTGTCCAATTGGAAGTGACCCAAGACTGAGCATAAGAGGCAGTAAATTGCCAGGGAAAGTGCCTATCTTTATCCTGCAAAGCATCTGATAAATTCAAACCACATGCCTTTGAGTTAGCAGTGCAATTTTCTACCACTAAACCACCAGTTCTGTCTTAGCTTTATTACTGTTTAACAAATGTGTTGGCACTGAGATCCTTTCAATTTTGTGTTAGATAGGTACATGGGATGTGAATGGAAAAACCCTGAGGAAAAATAACAATGGCAATAACAAAGTACAGTTGACTAGATTTCAGGACACCTTCATTTACTCTCAATATAGTTCAGTAGACGCAACTTACAAATAGATTTTAAAATTCTATCTAGTTATAAAAGTAAACAATCTCAACTCACATTGCTATTGAAACACAGTCAACTCATAGCTTACATTTCTGAAACTCGTTGCCATCAAGATGAAAGGCAATTTTGGCCACCTCTTGTTACCTTGGACATTTATACATATCTTATTAGTTATCCTTCTATTTTTATAGTAATGGTATTCTGAAGTATTTGTCTTTATTACACTGAAGTAGTTGTGTATTCTTTTTTTTCTACAGATTAGCAAAACATTCAGAGAATCAGATTTAAGAAATCAGTTCATCAGAGCTTATGTCGTCAAACTCAGGTGAGTGGAACTATATTAATAAAAAAGATAGGCACAGACGAAATTTGATTTATTTGAATTTTCTTCCAATGAAAGTGTATAAGGAGTTCACACAATTTATTTAATATTATAAAAATATTATCCTAGGCGAGCTCTGGTGGCCTAGTGGCAAGAAGCTGCACTGCAATCCCAGAGGTGCATGGTTTGAATCCACCAGATGCTCTGCTGAAGGAGGAGGGACAGTCTCCTCCTGTACAGTCAGATCTGATTGGACGGTACACACAAAATAATAATAATAGTAATAATAATAAATAAATAAATAATAATAATTATTATTATTTAAAAATATTATCCTAAACAGTTTAAAAAATGTTGCATGTAATATATTTACGGTATAACCATTCATTTCCTATTTTTATTTTTTTATACTGGTTTATTTACAAAGTTCAAATACACTATTTTTCACACTAGATATTTCCAATTTTCTTCACCACCCTCCACTCATCAAATTTTGTGACACCAAGATTAACCCCTCCCCCTGTCTATCCTCACACCTCCGCTTCCTCTCTCTCCACCTCCTTTGGAGCCTCATATTAATTCTACAATAATGGTTTTATATTTGTCTTTATGGAACTGAGTTCACTCAGCATTATGTTCTCCTTTCTCTCCAAAATTACATAGTAATTTATAAAATTATGCTCCTATGTGCTGCACATTATTACATTATATGAATGTACCATAATTTCTCAATCCTTTTGATTGTGGATGGACATCTGGACTGTTTCCATGTTCTTGCGATGGTGAATAACACAGCTATGAACATTGCTGTACAAGTCTCCATCTGTGTCTCAGTTCTCATTTTCTCAGAGTATATTCCAAGCAGTGGAATAACAGGATCATATGGAATTTCTGTGTTCAGATTGTTGAGGAAACGCCAAACTGCCTTCCAGAGTGGTTGTACCATTTTAAAATCCCACCAAAAATATATGAGTTACTATCTTTCCACATCCTCTCCAATAGTTATTACTCGTTGTCCTGTTAAACTTGGCCACTGTTACTCGAGTGAGATGGTACCTCATTGTTGTTTTGATTTGCATTTCTCTTATTGAGTGATTTTGAGTATTTCTTCATGTGTCTGTTTGCCATTTGAATATCTTCCTCTATGGAAATTCTTTCCATGACTTTTGCCCATTTTGTAATTGGGTTATCAGTCTTTTTTTCTTGTGGAGGCCCAGAAGTATTCTATAAACTTTCGTTGTAAGACTCCTGTCTGAGCTGGTATTACCAAATTTTTTTCCCAGTCGATATGTTTTCTTTTCACCCTTTTGGGAAAAGTTTTTGATGCACCCATGGATTTAATCTTTTAGAAGGTTCCATTCATCAGTTTTATCCTCTTCAGATTGTACAGTTCTGACTGTATTTGGCAGTCTCTTTATACCATAGACTAGGCCTTCTAAGTTGGATCTCAATTTGTCTTTTTTGAGCGTTATAGTTTGGGGCTTTACTCCCAGATCTCTCATCCACCTTGAGTTGATCTTTGTGTGTGGTGTGAGATGTGGATCCTGTCTGAGCTTTCTGCAGGTGGAAATCCGGTTTTGCCAGCACTGTTTGGTGAAGAGGTTGTCATTTCCCCATTTGATAGCTTTGATTTCCTTTTCGAATATCAGTTGACCATAGATTGTTGTTGTTGTTGTTATGTGCCGTTGAGTCGCCTGCGACTCATAGCGACCCTATGTACAACAGCCCTAAACTCCGCTCTGTCCTGTGCCAATCGCACTGTCTCTGACACTCCCATCCCAATTATCCCAGTCACTGAATCAATCCACCTCATAGAGGGCCTTCCTCTCCTGTGCTGTCCCTCCACCCTCCCAAGCATAGCTGAGTCCATATCTGGGTTCTGAATTTTGTTCCATTGGTCTATGTGCCATAGTCTTGTACCAGTACCATGCTGTTTTGGTTATTACAGCTGTGTAGTAGGTTTTGAGCCCAGGGTGAGCTAAGCCTCCAATTTCATTTTTGTTATTCAGAAGTGGTTTGCTTAGTCAAGGCTCTTGCCTCTCCAGATAAACTTGACAATTTCCTTTTAAATATCCTTGAAAAAATGACTTTGGTATATGTATTGGGATTGCATTGAACATGTAGATTGCTTTTGGTAGGATTGTCATTTTCACAATATTGAATCTTCCTATCTATGAGCAGGGCACATTTTCCACTTATTTAGGTCTTTTATTGTGTCTTGCAGAAATGCTTTGTGGTTTTCTTTGTATAGGTCTTTTATATCTCTAGTTGTTTTACTCCCAACTGTCTCAATTTGTAGTTGGCTATTATAAATGGTATTGCTTTCTTGGTTTCCTTCTCTGAGTTCTCTTTGTTGCTGTAGAGGAATTCCTCTGATATTTGTATATTGATCTTATATCCTGCAACTCTACTAAATTGGCCTGCTAGCTCTAATAGTTTTTTTTTGTTGAGTCTTTAGGGTTTTCTTTATACACTATCATATCATCTGCATATAGTGACAGTTTAACTATCTCTTTTCCAATCTGGATGCCTTTTATTTCCTTCTCTTGTAGTATGACCCTAGTAAGCATTTTCAATCCAATATTGAATAGATGTGGTGACAGTGGGCATCCTTGTCTGGTACCATTTCTCAAAGTAAATGCTTTTAGTCGTTCTTCTTTGAGAATGATGTTGGCTCTTGGTTTTGCATACATATGTTTTAGTATGTTGAGGAAATTCCCTTCTATTTCAATTTTGCTGAGTGTCTTTATTAGGAAGGGGTGTTGGATTTTTGTCAAATGCCCTTTCTGCCTCAATTGCTATGTCATATGGTTCTTGTTATTAACTTTATTGATATGGTGACTTATGTTGATTATTCTTCTTATGTTGAACCAGGCATAACCATTCTTAACTTATATCAACCCTAAAACTGAGAGTAAAACTGCCCCTAGGGCAGTAAATCATTCTAGAAAAATATAATTACATCTTTCACAAAGCAATGGATCTATTCAAACTACCACTGCAATACCAGGGTTCATCTGTTGTTGTTGTTGTTATGTCCCATCGAGTCGCTTGCGACTCATAGTGACCCTATGTACAACAGCTCTAAACTCTGCTCTGTCCTGTGCCAATCTCATTGTCTCCGACACACTCATCCTGATTATCCCAGTCACCGAATCAATCCATCTCCCAGACGGCCTTCCCCTCCTGCATCTGCCCTCCACCCTCCCAAGCATGGTGTCCTTCTCCAAGGACCAGTCTCTCCTTACAACATGACCAAAGTGTGTCAGACGAAGCCTCAGAATTCTTGCCTCCAAGGAGCAGCCTGGTTTAACCCTCTCCAAGATGAATCTGTTTGTTTTCTTAGCAGTCCATGGCACCCTCAGCACTCTTCTCCAACACCAAAGATCAAAAGCATCAATTCTCCTTCTATCCTCCCTGGTCATTGTCCAGCTCTCTGATGCATGACAAGTGATTGCAAAGGCAATGGCCTGTACCAGACATACCCTAGTCTCCAGAGACACACTGTTGCTCTTGAGTACTTTAGAGAGGTCCCTAACAGCAGACTTTCCCATAGCAATACGTCTTTTAATTTCCTGGCTGCTGGTTCCAAGAGTGTTGCTTGTGGAGCCAAGCTGACTAAAGCTGTGAAATATCTCAGTCTCTTCACCATCCATCCTGATGCTGCCAATTGGTCCAGTGGTGAGAATCTGTCTTCTTGACATTGAGCCTCAATCCATACTGAATGCTGCAGTCCCTGACCCTCAGCAACAAGCACTTCAGGTCCTCCTCAGTTTCAGCAAGGCTAAAAAAAAGCCCACCCTAACAGGTAACGCAGAGGACCTCCAAAGCTGTGCGACACCATGTGCCTTCAGCATTGCAGCACAGCTTCTTGCCACAAGGCCACCAGAGCTCAGTGTCAATTATCATTATCTTTGTGACCAGTGACAAGTGACTTAATTTCTTTATACCTCAGTTTCTTCCATTGTGAAATAAATAATACTAGCAGCGCCTCACTAATAGAGCTGTTATGAAGATCACATAAATGACTAGGTTACAAACACTTAGCACTGAGTATTTCTTTAAGAAATTATCTTCCTGGCAATATCTATTATCTTTTCCTTTTTCCTTATCACTTGTTGGGATTTTTCTTGTTGATTTTTAAGAATTTACTAGAATACTTAGTATTTGTCCAGTTTATGAACTGTGAATATACTCTGGCTATCTGTAACATATGTTGACATTTTGTTTATTGTACCTTTTGTTGTACAACATATGTTGAAAAATATACTGGTTTTCTTATAGTCACTTATTCACTATATCTTAATCTGTCATTTCATGTCCAAAATATATGCATCTTTGGTCATTGGGTTGCCTGTGACTCATCGCGACCTGATGTATTATAGCTCTGAACTCTGCTCTGTCTTGAGCCAGTCTCACTGTCTCTGACATGGCTTCCCCCATTATCTGTTACTGTGTCAATCCATCTCTTCTGGGGCCTTTCTATCCTGTATTGTCCTTCCACCTTCCAAGCATGATGACATTTTCCAGGAATTCGTCCCTCCTAGTTACATGCCCAAACTGTATATTTTAATCATATCTCTTAAAGCAAGTAGACAGGCGGGTAAGACATTTTAGTAAATTCTAATCATTTTACCCTTTAACTGACCATTTTAGTCAATTTACATTTAGTTTAATAACTGTTATATTTAAATCTTCAATCTGCTTTCAAAGTCTTTACCCTGGTTTTTTTTCTATGATTATTTTTCCTACTACCTTTTCTTTTTTTAGATGAGTGAAATTTCTTTGTTTTCTCCCACTAGTTTGAAAGTTATACATTATTTTCCTCTTAGGAAATTTACCAAAAATTTAAAATTCACCCAAGAGTTTTTACTTACCCTCTACTTTTCTTTCTAATAACAAAGGAATTTTAACTTCTTTAGGCATGTTGGTAGGAGGTCCCTGGGGAGGGACATAATGCTCTGAAAGGTAGAAAGTCAGTGAAGGAGACAAACACCCTCAAC